TCAAGTTTAAAATCAACTAGCAATGAGAAGATTTCCTGAATGCATTCTTCCATGTGATTAAACAAAGGTTTCTACTGTTCAGTATCCAAAGTAAATTAATTGTTTCTAATTATTTCTGGTGAGTTGCCCATGTACTTTAATAAGGACAATTTGTAGATTTTTAATAAGTTATCATGAGGTTGATCTTCTTCTTCTAAGATCTTCATTCAGTAACAATAATTCTTTTCAGTGTTTCCAAATCTTTATCAAATTAAAAAGCATGAATTTTTGCACTTATGACTGTCACAGTGATCTGCGGTCACGTGACTGCCATTTGCATGTTTCCCAACCAGCTTCCAACAAGCAGAGTTAATGGAGAACACAGAAGTAAAATCACAAGTTACAGTCACATGATGTCTCACTTAACGACCAAGGTGTGGAGGGCTAATCTCCTTCTTTGTCCTGTATGGACTTCCTTTCTATGTGAAGAATAAACTAGCAATTCCTGTGTGGGGCAAAACAAGAATGCAACTCCCCAATTTTCCTACAATGATTGCCTTTGCACATGTAGTAGGAAGACAGCATTTCGAGTGCTGGCCTGCACAATCAAACTGATGATGAATAGATTTCTTCGGTAGGTAACTCTGCTCTCTGATAACATTTAGACCATCAGAACAATGGAAAAGCCGGATCTGGTACATAGTCTGCATATAATTTTCCACCCTTTTTCTCACTCACACACACAGAGGAAAGAACATTTACCATGTATGGAGTAGCAAATAAGTCAAAGAAGTATTAGGAGAAAGAGCTATACAGACTATTAGAAGCTTAGCTGTTTAGAAGTATAGTGGCACAATAGAAAAAAAAACAAGAGCATTTTACAATTACTGTATTTGCCAAACAGAAAGAGCGCACAAGTTCTCAGCTGCTTGTGGGTGAAAGACTAATGCCCTCCAGCATCCTGATGAAATGCTTCAGGGCCAGTTCCACGCCAGTGTATCATTTTGTGTTGATTTAAGTATTGGTGGCTGCCACTTTAACTCAGTAGTGAGGAGAGGCCCATAGATTTTAAAAAACCCAATAGATATAATTTGCCTAAGATTATAAATAACAATATATCACTGATTGTGGTTTCCTTATTTAATCAATGAAACTATTGGATACCGGAACCTTACATCTTACAGAAAGGATTTATTTCTACTAAGAATGTGTAAAAAAGACTGGCAGCCAAGTCACAAGGCCCAAGCTTAACTGGCACTTTTCACAGGATAAAATATTCTAAAATCCAAACAGAATGTGCAGGTACTGATGCAACCAACTCATCAAGATAAAAAGGAGAGCTCTGGCCTCGAAAATGGGGTTAAATGTTAGCTTAAAAAATATTAGCTAGGATCAGGAGGAGCCACAGGGAATCCTAGATTACTTGTGAGCCAAATCAGTGTATAGGCAACAAACATGCAGCAAGATAACAGTATTGTTGGAGGAAAGACAACCAGATTCAAAATCTGTAATAAGTTTCAAACATAAACTTCAAAGGACTAAATGATGTTGGGCTGAACAGAACATTTTTATTGCTTTCACTGACCACAAAGGTATACAGTTATCTAATAGAATTTCCAAAGCTCAAATACAATTTCATTAACATAAATAAAATAAAATAAAATACAATACAATAAAAAAATAAAATAAAATAAAATAAAATAAAATAAAATAAAGCAAGTACTAAAGAACTAAAAGATTAAACCTAAGTCTAACCACATTATAAAACTACTT